CACGATTTGAATGCCGCCCCAATGCAGGTCTCAGCCAGGCCAGCGAAAGCCCAAACAATTCACTCAGTGCTCCAGTTGACCTCAACTAGCTGAAGGGCTAGCTGAATGGGATTATGGTGCGCAATTCAAATTTGAATGTATATTAAATGTATACACAGTGAATATATTATAGGCTTGTAGATACTACTGAATCTTGGAGTATTTTTATCGAAATTGAATACGAAATGGTTACAGCGATTTCTCATTAATTATCCACTATCAATAATCAATAATTGTATCACACATTTTCTTGCATTCACTGTCTAGCTCTCTTTCTCTTTTCGCTCTCTCTCTCTCCCCCTGTCGAAAGACAGAGTCTTCTTTTCCCCATTTCCTTATCACTCAATCTCATTCTATGTCTCTCATTTTTTCTTTCTATTCTCCGTCCTTCTTCTGTTTTCTCCTGTTTCTTTCTCTGCTATTCAAAGCCTTTATCGTGCCATCTCACTCTCTTTCCCTTACCATTTCCCTCTCTATCTCACTTTCTGTGTGCCACTCACTCTCTCTCTCTCTCTCTTTCTCTCTTTCACATTCTTTCACTGTCTCTCTCGACCCTCTCACCGTTTCTCACACACCTTCTTTCTGTCACTCTCTCTTTCGCTCTCTCTTTGTCTGTCTCTCTTTCGCCCTCTCATTCCTCTCTGGCTTTTTCGCTCCCTCTGTCTTACTCTCTCTCTCTCTCTCTCTCACTGTTCCTCATTCTCTCTTTCCCTCTCTGTCTCTCTCTTTCTCTCTCTCTCTCACTACCTCTCTCACACATTCTATCTGTCTCTCTCTTTCCCTCTCTGTCTCTCTCTTTCCCTCTCTTTCTCTCTCTCTCTCTCTCTGTGCCCTGCTTCTGTTACCTTCTCATAGTCTCTCCTTCTCTTTCATTGCTCATGCTCATTCTCATGGTAGTAATCATGAAATATCTAATTTAATTATTGATTTCTCATTACAAATTATTTTGCAATACTTCAATTTATTGAGGTAGGTTTTATTGAAATTTGCCTTTCGCATGTATCAAGGACCTCAAGGATCTTAGCTTGAAATCAATTTGCCTTACTCGTTGTCTCAGTTTACGGATTAATTAATGCGCATTTAGTTTGAATGCGTTTCAAGCCAAGCGAATGCTCATTTACGGCGATGCCAGGTTGATGCCACAATTCAATGCTGAGCGCTGAGCGTAGGCTTAGTACGCACACACAAGAGAGTGAGAAAGAGGTGGGGGAGGGGGGAGGGAGAGGGAGCGAGTGTGGAAGGGAGTGAGAAAAGAGGTAAAGCTAAGCAGTCGAACAGCTGACTGATTTCACAGTCTCAATAGCATTACATATGGAGAGTGGAGGGGAGGGAAGTGGAGTGGAGTGGAGGGAGTTGACTCCGAGGCGAGGGGTTTCTGGCTTGGTTGGATCTATACTAAGCACTTCACGCAAAACTTGGCACAAGTCGAAAACTTTTCATATAAATTACAACAATGCAATTTGATTTAAGCCAGCCAGTCCGCACGGGTAGGCGGTGGGTAAGGGGGCGTGGCACTTAAGTAGCTGAGTGTGCGCATGTGTGTGTGTGTGTGAGCTTAATATTTATTTAAAAGTCTGCACACCTTTTGCCACAAATTCCCACTCAAAGAGCACTAGAAAGAGAGAGAGAGAGAAAGGGAGTGATTGAGAGGGAGAGAGAGAGCGAGGCATGCTGATAATTTGAATGAAGAAATTTACATGATTTCCTTAACAATCAAAATGTATTTCATTGTCTGGCACAGAGGCTGTCGGATTAGCAGGGGCGGGGGCGGGGACGAGGGTGGGGGTGGGGGCGTCTTGTCAAGTGGATTGTGTGTGCTATTTGCTGGCATATTAGTGGGGCTCGAGCCATACAATTGAGTTGTTCAATGACACGCCAAAAATGCGTGAGCTCCTGACTCCGAGAGCCTCAAAAATATTGCCTAATCACTGCTCGGGGAGCTGGGAATTTGGAGCTGAGGCTGAGGCTGTAGCTGTAGCTGGGCGTGGGCAAGGACAGGATGTACGTGTGAGTTGGCGGCCATGTGGTTTGGGTGGTGCGGCGGTGAAAGTGGCCGCAAGTAAAAGTTTTTGCCCCGTCCATTTGGTCAATTTGGGCCAAAAGAAAATTTGTAGGCTATAGAAAGTTTTCAGAGCGAGGCGAGCTGGCGGGCCTGGAGAGATTTGAGTCTATCTCTTGTTTAGTTGCCAGAGGCGGCATTTGGGCGTGGCATGTGGCAAAGTTTTACGTGTGCACGCGCCCCAAAAATAAACAGCAACAATGGCAAGTGGCAGCGGTTAAGTTGACAGGACAACAGCAGCATGCCAGAGGAGTGAGAGTGAGAGAGAGAGAGAGAGAGAAAGTGCCAGGCAGAGGCTGAGACAGAGACAGAGAGCAGCTGAGGGCTGCGAGGCGTGGCAGGCTAGCTTGATATAGCTGGTGAGATAAAGCGTTGAAAACTTGAAGCCAGCGGCTGTTGGTCCAACAACAACAACAACAACCAGCTCAACAACAACAACAAGAAGAAGCGCACGCACTCCAGAGCAGAGAAAACAAAATATACTGTGAGCTCACAAAATGAAAACAAATTGTGCACTGCGGCTGATTCCCACATTAGGGGTAGTCCATATTAAATAAGTTCAACGCAAGATTTCCTCGAGTTCAAGCTGCGAATAGCGAATTTGTATGCAAGCATTTTCACTTTAAATTCAAACAGAAAACGCCGAGGCGGACGTCAAGTGAAAGCCGCAACAATAGCAAATCCCTAGTGGAATAATAATAATAATATAATCAAAATAATAATTACAAATTTTCTATTAGAAAATGCTTTCTGGGAATACGAATTTGAGGTCTATAACTTCAAATCTTGAATTAAATACCTTCAGCAAGCTTTTTTTAGAAATTAGTTCATTTACTTTTAATGGTAACTTTGGCTTTGCTTAACGCAGTTACTAAAATTAGTTTAATAACTATTGATTAATCATTTAAGACTTTTGCTAGTGTTCTAAAAGCTGCTACTAGAACTCTCTCTCTCTCTCTCAACTTAAACTTAGCTCTAGCTGGCTAAGCCAAAAACTCTCTTAAAGCTCACTTTAAACTGTCCCTAGGCTAATGTAGAACCCACTTGTCTTTAGCGTTTCTGAACTTGGCTTAAAGCGTCTGAAACTCGCTTAAGCATCAAAGCTAAAAGCTCGATCGAAGCAGCCTATTCGAGCTTCCTCTCAATACTCAATGCGAAGCTTTCGTCAAAGTTACTTAAAGCTGTTATCGAGCCGGCTTAAACTTAGCTTAAGGCTTAAGCTCTTCTTTCAAATCTGGGAAAAATGTCCCTCAGCTCTCCTAAGGCTTAAAGCTTCAATTCTGTTTGATCTTGAAGAGCTTAAGCGCATATTAAAGCTCTCTTCATTCACTTAAAGCTTGTTATGAAGATCCCTTAAACTTATCTAATCCTCGGCAAAGCTCAAGCTAAATATAACGAAAGCTTTCTTGCAAATCTACTTGACTCCATTAAAAGCTCTATTGATCACAGTTTGTCTTGTTGGCAAAGCTCACTCAAAGCTTATGTCGTGCTCACTTAAAGCTCTATTCTGTCTTTTCCTGCTAAAATCACTTTAAGATTTGTATTTTAGGCTTCATTTACTTGCAAAACGCTCGTCGAACACACAAAACTCTCATTAATATTCGCTCGTCAAGCTTTTCGCAGCAACTCTCGAGTGCCCCCAGTGGATGTGTGCTGCCCGCATATATGGTAGCTGAGCCAAAATTGAAATATTAAGCCATACAAATCAGGCAACTTGCAGCAGCAGCAGGAGCAGCAGCAGGAGCAGGAGCAGGAGTGGAAGCGAAAAGAAGCAGCGAAAAATCATTCGACACGCGCGGCATTTATCAGCGCCAGCGGGCGAGGCGGAAACGGAAACGGAAATAGAGCAAAGGGCTGCGCCAAGGGGGACGCATGCAGGCACGTATAAAGCTAAGCGGGAACATTGAAGCGGGACTGGGGCTGGGACTGGGGAGACGCGCTTATTGACGTTGAGCAACGCTTATTGGCGTACTTAATCCTTTTGGCAAATTCCAATAAATTACCAGAACAGGACAGGACACGACGAGCCAAGGCCAAAAGTCAGAGGAAGACAGTGAAGACTCGCAGGCGCTGCGGGGCCAGCAGAGCGGAGGATGAGCACGAAAAAACAAGAGCAACAGTAAAGAAAAAACAAAAACAAAAAGGAAAAAAAAAAGAAAGAAAGACAAACATCAATAGGCCATGATGAGTTTCTGATTGCAAAGCAAAAGGCAGCACAGCAGCCCCAAAGGTCGAACGGACGCTAGCTAAAGCTCGCTGGATGGGGTTGCCCCAATGGATGGTAGAGGGAGATGTAGGGGGGCGAGGGCGGGTGCTGGCTGAGAAGGATGACGGTCGTGTCACATGGCTTGGCTTGGCTGCCTTTGGGGCAAGTCATAAAATTGAACAGACATTTTATGTGAGGCGGGCCAAGTGGGCTGACTGGGGGAGGGGGCTTGGTCTGGCACGGTTGGGTGGGCGTGCTTCTGGCTTGGCTACAAAGTTAAATTGAAAGCCCAAATCCTTGCCAGACTCACAACTGGATAGGCAGCCAGCTCGCTTTGCGTACTTTGTCTTATCTCTTTGACTGTCCATAAACCAGGCGCCCCTACAGCCACCTCCCGCCCTCCCTCTCCATACACCCCATGCTCGACGCTCGACGCACCTCACACATTTTGTTTTGTTTTTTTGGTTTGCTTTCTCCGCTTTTATTGTAAATGTTTTGCATATTTTTGATTGTGCTCGAAGCACCCCAGCTCCATAATAAAAACAAAAAGTAACAGTAATAAGTGCAAAAGTTGGCCCTAGCCGACTGAGCCCGCACTCTGCCCACACTCATGGACGGCCCACATCGTGCTGTCTGTTACTGGAGTAACAGTTGCGTTCACTTGAAGAATTTTTAAAGGGTATTTCGTAGTCGCTGCTAGTCCAGGCCGCCCAGCTGCTTGTCCTGGTGGTAGACATGATCGATGCCACGGCTGTGGGCAACGAGACGCGGATAGGCGCGCACCGTGTCGCCCAGCATGGGGCTGGCCAGCTGGCTGCTCAGAATGGAGGCCACATGCCCGAACACGAGGGCATCCAGCTCGCACGGCTGCTGGCCATAGAGATAGTTGGCGCTGAGCTTGCTGTTGGACTCGCGCGCCTCCAGCTTGTCGCTGAGCAGCTGGCAGCACTGCTGCAGCTGAGCCTGGACGTCGCGCGTGTTCAACTTGTCCCACTGGTAGACGCGCAGGAGGCGCAGCGCCTCGGCGCACTTCTCGCGCCGCCGAATGCTGCTCAGCGGCCAGGGATGGGCGGAGCCGATGCGCGGCTGGGTGTGCTCCACATAGATGGGCGACTCCTTGTAGCACTGATGCAGCTCGGCCAGGGTGAATGTGTTCTCCACGTAGGCCACCTCGGCGCGCATATCCTCGCGCTCCTCGAAGCCCAGCCAGGAGCTGACCGCGTTCTCCAGCTGCGTGCACTCCACGTGCCCCACAATCGGCTCGAACTCGGCGAACAGACGGCGCCCGAGTCGCAGCAGCGGCAGCTTGGTCAGCCGCCCGCCCGTCGACATGAACTCCGCGTTGTCGCACTGGCGCTCCGTGTACGGCAGCCGGCACATGCGCAAGTAGCTCTTCACGGCCAGGCAGCTGGCCTGCTCCGGCAGCAGCAGCTGCAGCTCCTCCAGCGGCTGGTAGAGGCACACCTCCTTTGGCCAGGGCAGACTTTCGCCGGGCAGCACCGCCAGCTGCGCATCGTTGGCCTGCAGCAAAGCGCTGGCCACTCCCGTTTCGCTCTCCATGGCAGCGTCTAGTCGAAATTTGGCTCTGGTCGAAACGGTGTTGCCTCTACTTGCGTGTGTTTTTGAAAATGTGCTCGAACAATTTAGCAAACAGAGTGAGTTTCAGTGCAGTGAAGCTGCCGCAAACGAAATCGAATGTTCGAGCAAACCAATTTGACAGATGCCAGCCAAGGCCTGCTGCGGTTCGAAAACGAGTTGGCAGTGCCAAGGCAGGCACTGCCATATTGATAATAATAATATTAATAATAATAATATTAATGATAAGAGTAATAGTGGTAGTTATGAATATGATTTATTGCAAGTCGATTTGGCTATGCTGTTCCATTAACAGGTAGCTCTCTTTGCCACAGCTTTATCGATACTGTTATCGGCAACCCTAAACGAACTGTTTGTTGATCGATAACCTCAATCAGCTATGCCATTCATCAAATTTCTTTCAATTGACTGCAAGACTGACGCAACTCGTGCGAAATGCTCATTAATTGACGGCAATTATTTTCTCTAAGACAACGTCTACATTGTTAGCGGAGGCTAGCAAAGCAATTAGCTGATTCTCGTCCACAAGCAAGCCCTGACTGGAGCTCTGCAGGCACCGCTAAGCTGACACTCAACTGATTTGATATTTATTGTGAAATTTTAGAGTTAGATCAAAAGCAAAATATAATAGCTTTCACTGTAATTTGTTAAATTCAGGTTCGGTCAGTCTATGTCAGGCATACAGCATCATGTAAAGGCAACACCGGCTCTACACAAATATGCAGAGCAGCTCGCTGAATCAATGAGAGTTTCCCAGAACTAGCAGCTCCATTGGCTATAAATAAATAACAGGCTGGTCCAAATGTCTTTGTCAGATATTTACATGCTCTAGGCTCACTAGGTTCACTAGGCCCACTAGGCCCTCTCCAGGCCTCTTTGCTGCCAACTAGCGAACCCTTGGGCTGGCTCTCTCCCATTCAAGTGAATGCCATTCAAGTTTAATTTATTTTTAAAAATTCCTGCTCCTGCCAGCCCCTGCCCCGCTCTTTGCGTTGTCTTTCATGTCCTCCATCAATGCTGCAATTAGACATTTCGTGTGCCAACTTTGTTTTGAATTATCGATAAGATGCCAATGGACTTTCTGGCTGCCAATGAAAGTGTCGCGCGACCAAGGCTCAGGCAGAGACAAAGGCAGAGCAGGATGCCTCAAGGTCAATAGTGAATGTGCTCTCGGGCGAGCCGGGCTACAATTAGCCGTCCAGTTGGAGCTGGGCCTGAGTCCGCTGGCAATTAGAAGGCAACTCGGCTGAGGCGCGACTGTCAACGCCTTTGCGTTGCATGCCTCGAGTGAATTGCTTTCGATGGTCGTCGTCGCAGCGCTGTCAACGGGTGAGAGTGGGTGGGGTGGGTGCGATGAGGGGATGTGTGTGTGCTTGCTGGTGAAAATTTCCTGCTCCAATTGAGCAATTAATCATTAAAGGCGCCACCTGCCGGCGCTTGTGCGCAACTTTTGCCTAAAAGGTTTACCAGAATCGAGCTACCTCCCTCTCTCTCTCTCCCTCCCTCTCTCTCTCGCTCGCGCTCTGCGCCTGAAGATGATAAATTACACAAGCGAGAACATTATGTAATTTCCAAGCCACCCGTCGAGTGTTTTGGCACAATGGGTCTCGTCTCGCGCGTGTGTGTGTGTGTGTATGAGATGCAAGTTTTCCACTTCCTGTTTGGCGGTTTTGACAGCCCCACTTTCAAGGATCATCTGTTTGCGTTTGTCGAAGGAGGAGCGATGGCGCATTGGGTGAACTTTAAGTTCGAACGCTTCTCATGCATTTCAACTGCTTCGACTGACATTGATGAACCCAAAGCGACGTACCCCAAAGAACTGCTGCTGCAACTGCAGCTAAGGCAGAAATTGACATGGCACCCCAAGTCATCGAGTCACCCAAGTCAGTTTATGGAACTCCCAAAAGTTCTCGAGCTCAACTCAACTTTACCTGGAAGTCTTGCAAATGGTATATAGCCAAAGTCTCTTCTGCTCCGAATATAGGCCACGACCGTCCCAGGGCAAAACTGTTTGAGTTAGTTAATCTTTGGATAAACAATTGCCAAAGGAATACATCTGCAAGGGCAGAGCCATATTTCTTTGCCGTTGCCACCTCACTACCTCATCGTTCGGCCACAATGCTTAAGTAACAAGTTTTCATAATATTCAGCATGGCTTAGCGCTCTTAACTGTGGGAGAACTGATTACGGCTCCTTAGGGTAGGCCATATATCATCGCCAGTTGGCTTATTATTTCGCTTTGTACCTAATTTAATGTTCAATTAGGACTTGTGTAGTCGCATTGCACGGTGCAGGCGGACGGGATGGATGGCCAGCTGTCGGGGGCGCGGCGGTGCCCCTTTTGTCTTTGTGTCACTTTGATTGATTCGACGACAAAGGCGGAGCTGAGAGGCGGAGGCTGAGACCCTCGACGGGTTAGGGCTCTGTTATCCGGCTGCCTTGACTTTGCATAGACTTTTTCCTGGGCTGTTGAGCATTGACAAAGTTCATTGTGTTGGGGCAAATTAATTAAGCAGCCGCTGGAGCCACTTGGCACCACACACACACACACACACGCACACGCACAGTGGGATAAATGTGTGAAAGGGGAATGTGAATGTAATTGTGAATGAGAATGCGAATGCGAATGTGAATGTGTATGGGAATGTGAATGGGAATGGCAATGTGCGTAGCAATGGCAATGTTCGCTGAGCAGGTGGCGTCGCCGTGGTGGGTGGGGGTGGCCCGGTTGAGACGTCGTTTGCACAAAGCCAACAAAAGGCAACAATTCTTAGCCACTAATAAAGAATAATATGACTGCCATAAAACTCAATTTATTACCAAAATGTCGACAAGCAGCGCAGCCGGAATGCGTGTGTGTGTGTGTGTGAGTGTGTGTGAAAGAATTACGACCCTGCCAGTCGGGCACCAGGGCACGCTGTCAAGGAGGCGCTCCAAGGGAACGATAGGGAGCTGCTCCTCGCCTCACAAATACAACCAAAATTTCATGCTGCCATTTCGTTTGGCCAATTCCTATTCCAAGTTTCAGCTGCCATTTTAATTCAAAGTCCCCCTTTTTATTTGCATTTCGTTCGAGTCGGTCGAGTCGCATCGGGCGGCTACATCTGCATCTGCTAATATCTACCCTAACATTCGATGGGCGTACCCCAACACAAAACGCATCACAATGCCATCAAATTCAGTCTGCCAAAATGCATTACACTTAACTAGTTTTCCTCGATACGATATAGCGTCCGAGTTCCATTGAAAGAGGAGTGAACTATGGTAAGGTTCGTCCAGTGAGTCGTAGCTTTAAAATCATTGTAAGTTTTCAATGATTGAGCATAGTTTCAAGTTGAAATATCCCGTTCTACATCAACCATCAATCAGTAATCCTTAAGCTCATCCTTAAACCAACCATCAATCAGTAATCCTTAAAATATATCATATAATCTATGCTATCCTCACCCTTCAATCATCAGCCAACATTTATCAATCAATAATACTCAATCATCAATCGTTAACAGTCACTCATCATATATCCATTTTATCCAATACTCATTTTACGCCCTGAAAGATCATCATGAACTTCAGATCATCAATCATTTGCCATCAATCGTCTATGCTCTAGTAACAAACATTAAGCAAGTATTTTCATTCATCAAGGTATTTTAATCAAAAATTCTCAACCTGTAATCATCAATTCTATATTTTTGGTCATCAACCATCAACCCTAAACTTCAATCATCAATCATAAGTCTAGTTATTATTCCTTCACCATTCATTATCTAATATATTCAATCATCAATCTGAATTTTAGTTAAGCCATCAATCTGAATGATCCACTATCAATCATCATCAATCTTCAGTCATAAATAGTCCGCCGTCAGTAAAAAGTCTTCGATTATAATAAAGCCTTCAAGTACAATTGTTCCCACAATCAACTTGATTTTCCTTTGCTTCTGCATTCGTACAATTGATTGACTGATTGAGAGTATTTATTAGTTGCTGTGATTCAATCCTCTGGCTCTGGTTCTGGTCCATTGAGTTTTATTTCCTTGCCGACTTTTCATCTTTGTTTTGCAATTTCATTTGCCATTTAGCTTCTTGTTGTCTAGCGCTCGGGCGATTTGTTGCTTTTGTGGCCCATTGCCCACTGTCCGCTGTCCGCTGTCCGCTGTGCGCTGTCCCATGGCCCGCTTGGCCCCATCTGCCCCCCCGTGTGGCTCCATTCAGTTTGTTGGCCAGCTGTTGGGCGCATTTGCTGGCCGCTTTGTGGCCACATTTTGGCCGCTTTGGCACTGGCGAACGGTAAACGTAGAACGGTCAATGCTGAACGGTGAACGGTGAACGGTCCCAAATACCCCTAAATAACTGTTTTGGGAGCTAATACCCAATTTCAAATAGTCTGTAGCAGTTGCATCTGCTGTGCGGCATGGCTGCAGCTAGACAAAGACGATTCACACAAAATGTGATTTATGTTCGGGTGGAAAGAAGGGCATTGCCTCGCATGGCGACTCCTCTTTAATCCGTTTCATTTGGAGCTGAACGTTAAATGGAAATGGAGGGCCACAAAGCTCCTCAAAGTCTATGCAACTCTTCCAGTGTATTGATAATCTGTCGATGTACTTGAGCTATGTTTGATTATGCATTTGCAGGGAATATGAAAGGAATACTCAAAAGGGTATATAGAGATTTTAGAGTGAGGCCAAGAAGGGGTAGAGAGAGAGAGACAGAGAGAGAGAGAGAAAGAGAGAGAGAGAGAGAGAGAGAGAGAGTGAGAGTGAGAGAGTGAGAACAAATCGTATATATCTGAAAGAATCGTAGATATTTTGTAATCATAATCAAGTCAAGTTAATCAAGTTAAAAACGTTTGAGAGAGGAAATGTAAAGCTATGAATACGGATAAAAGGGAAAGCACTTAGGGATAAATAAGTGCAAAGGTTAAAAGCGGGAGAGTTGAAAGTGGAGAGGAAAAGGGAACGTAAAAGTGAAAAGAA